CAAGATATTCTTTAGTACAACAGATTCAATCGAGCGGGGCACCTATGCCATAACCTCAAGATATGCTTTAGCATAGTCGATTCATTCGAGCGGGGCACCTATGCCATAACCTTAAGATATGCCTTAGTACAATCAATTCTATCGCCGGCGCTCCTATGCTATAAGTTTAAGATATGCCCTAGTATAATCGATTCCTTTGGGCGGGGCAGTTATGCTATAACCTCCAAATACGCCTCACTACAATCAATTCCACCGGGCGGGCCACCTATCTCATACCCTTGAGATAGGTTCAGTACAAGTGATTCCATCGGACGGGGCGCTTATGCCATAACCTTAAGATACGCCTCAGTGCAATAAATCCTTCCGAAAGGCACCTATGCCATAGCTCCTAGATATGCCTTAGTACAATCATTTTTGATGATGGCATGACCGATTTGCTCGGGGCAGATATGCCACATCGAGGTCGGCCTTTACGTTACAATCTTCATGACAATCCAAGACACGCACTTTGATTCACAAGACTTTCCGCCCTCAGAAGACGGCAACAGCCATGCCGCGCTATGGCGTTATGGCTTATCCGACTTGGTCGAAGTCAGCCTCGCTGACAACGAAAGTGATACCCAGAAGTCGTCAAAATTGAAATTAGTGTGGTGGTGTAGTCCGAATTTATTTTCCGATCCTGCGGAATCGATCCTACTGAGAGCAAAATTGGGCTCAAACGGTGCAATCCGGGGATACCCCAACACCGGTAGTGTGAAGACAGTCTTACGGGAATGCAGCCACATCGTTGCTTGACCCGGTCTTCGTTGAGCTGAGGGAATCCGTTCATCTGAGATGCAGGTTGTGGTTTTTTGAAACGATATTGGTCGTACGTATCCCTGACACAAAATAGTTTGTCCGTTCAATACAAGTGTTACAGATACGCCCGAGGACGGCCCTCAGAGGGACAGCCGTAGAATGGGATTACGACATCGTGAGGATGCAGAGATAGCTGATCTCGAAAACCGTCTGATCATCGAGTGTCCTCGAAAAGTGAGTTCTGATCGCACGCCTTACTGATTGTGACGTTTTGTTGCTCTAGGGAGAAAGCGTGGACCAGTTCGAGCGCAGGAGGGGCCTTGGAGATGCAGGAGACGAGCACCACGAGCGTTCGAGTAGGTGTAATGGCAGCTTCGGTCGAAGCGGCATACTGTTATATGATCAGCGACGGGCCCCGTCCTCACCGGTCATTCATTTGGCGAGCTGCCGCTCTCGCGCAAGACGCAGCTTGGTCTCAAGGACCATGGTTTCAGTAAACTCACCCCTATTCAGAGAAGTGCCATACCCTATGCTCTAGCAGGACGAGATGTAATCACTCCATAAGGGATGACGCGTAAACGCTCGGTGCAGGTCCTTGGCGAGGCTAGGACGGGTAGCGGCAAATCACTTGCGTTCATCATACCGGTGATTGAGAAGCTGTATCGCATGAAGTGGAGCGCTGACGATGGTGTTGGTAGGCTTCAGTCCCTCATCCATCCGAAAACTGACTGCTTACTCAGGTGCGGTACTGATATCTCCCACGAGAGAGCTTTCGGCGCAGATATTCACAGTCCTGCAGCAAGTAGGCAGCCATCACGACTTCTCCGCGGGCTGTGTGGTTGGTGGGCGGAAGTTCCAAGAGGAGCAGAAGGTCTTCCCATCCCTATCCATTGTGGTCTGTACCCCTGGCCGGCTACTACAGCACATTGAGGAAACTGCTGGCAGTGACCTCTCTAATGTACAAGTATTGGTATTGGACGAAGCAGATAGGTAGTGACAGTCGGCTGGGCGGTAGCATCACCACGAGCTTGGGCAGGATACTGGATTTGGGTTTCAAGAAGACGATAGAGCTCATCTTGGATGCATTGCCTCCCAGTCGGCAGACACTCCTCTTCTCGGCGACTATGCGCACAAGTGTGCAACAGCTCGCTACCTTAGCATTGGATAATCCTGAGCTTCTATCCGTAAGGTTCCTGGTTCGATCCTCCCCCGAGACATTATTGCTTAGGTATCGCAAAATTTGAGCTCGGCTACCCCGACTGGGCTGCGACAGCTGTGCATGACAGTGAGGCTGGAAGAGAAGGTCAACTCCCTCTTCAGCTTCCTCAAGACCCATGCTCAGACCAAGATCATAGTCTTTGTCAGTGCCACCAAACAGGTACACATCGCACTAAGTTCCCGTACCACTCCTCCGCTACACCAGGTCCGCTTCCTCTATGAGACCTTCCGGCGCCTCAGACCGGGCTTGGCTGTGCTAGAGCTCCACGGTGGTATGTCTCTTGATAAGAGAATGAAGGTAGGCGGTAAGAGAAGCTACGGCACTTCCTGTATCGAGTGTAGGTTTTCGACCAATTCGCCTCGAAGGACAAAGGATTGTGCCTCATTTGCACTGACGTGGCCGCGAGGGGTGTAGACTTCCCCCAGGTAGAGCTAAGCCCAGGTTGTCCACTATCCACTCAGTGTCTTCCCTCAGGTCGATTGGGTCATACAGATGGACGCTCCTGATACCGCAGACACCTACATTCACCGGGTTGGGAGGACAGCACGCTTCGACAGGAACGGCAATGCTCTAATGTTCGCAACTGAGGTAGGAAACAGCAGCAGTGTCTTGGACGATGATGCTGGCGTCCGCATGTAGGTCGAAGAAGCATCCCTTCTACCCGAGCTCGCCCAGAAGAAGGTGGATGTGCGTGTGACCTCCATCAACAGGAGAAGGATGTTCAATGTACTGTGTAGCACCTTAGCACGATATTGTCGCCTAATACGGCCCTATTCAGATCACTGGTAAATTACAGAGTCTCCTGGCGTCAGAGCCTGACGTGAAGCACCTTGCTGTTAAAGCCACTCAAGTAGGCATTCCTGCATACACTTTGTTTACACGTGGGTCAGGTGTATGCGAGGGCGGTAGCTCTGACTGGGAGGACTAGGCTTACAGAAGATGAGGTGGCAGCCTATGCTCACAGCCTGGGTGGGTATAGTGATGATAGTCGGTGTGTGAGGGGACTTTGCTAGGACTGCATGAAGCCCCTCCGATAACGT